TCTGGAAAAAAGGACAAAAGCAAAACGCAAAAAAAAAAATTAATAAGATATATTAAAAATGAGATTTCAGTTTGAAGATTGTTTTTACTAGCAGTTGTAAACTGAAATGGGTTTTGTTAAAGTTTTTTTGTTTAAATATCGGTCTTTTTGTTGCTATTTTGTACACATACATATCTACAGCATCAAAAGCGCTAATCATGAATATTATTTGCTAAATTAACTGTAGCTTTGCTTTACAACTGCTCCTTATTTTACATTATATATATGTGTATATATTTCTTATATTTAATGTATATATAGAGTTTTTATGATACATACATATATTAAATTAATGTAATATATTAAATTTGCTATTGCTCTCAGGCTTGCTCAGTTGCTGCTACTGTAACCGCTCATGCATTGCTGCTGCATCATAGCAACTATGTATATATGTATGTATGTAAGTGATGCCATGCGTTTAGTTTTCATTTGCTACATAATGCTTACAGACTTGAATTTACACTTTAGGTGTTTATTTTACTAAATGTGTAAATATTAGAGTGGGTCGATTTTCTGTGAACAAAAACAAAAAAAAAACATCGGAAATATTGGGTATGCGGAAAATATTCTACGGATATTCTGAACAATATTGCGTAAGAGACTGTGATTCTAAAACTGTATCCGAACCAATTACTTAATATTTATATTTTGAGGTGAAGATTTTTAGGGATCATAAAAATTTGTTGGTCAGTTTTTGCGATAACCTAATGAAATTTTATTCTTAGTTGATATTAGTACTGATCATTTGATATTTAGTTTGATACTCAATTAATTATTTTCCGGAATTGACCAGATCGTATAACTAATCTACGGTGTCTACGCCAATAAAGAAGAAAAAGAAGATATCTCCAAAAAAATCGATTGATCAGATTTTTTAAAAATCGCTGGCTCGAAACTGGTTTTAGACCCATAGTCGCTTAGGCACATTTGTTTAGTTTGAACCGTAGAATATGAAAGCTTAAAGAAAAATCGACCCGCTCTAATGTATATGCATGATTATGTTGTTGGTGCATGACTTTTTATTGATTTTTTGTTGTTTTTTTCTTGTTATTGTTTTCGTTTTTACTTTTGTTATTTATGTTGCTGTGTTTTTGGTTTTTGTTTTTATTTTGCTTTTAGCTTTATTTTTTATTTGATTTTATTATTTTTGTAGTTGTTGTTGGTTTTATTTTAATTTTTGCTTTTAATTTTTTTTTGTTTTTGCTATGTCAATAAATGCATTTGCCCTTTTAAATATGTATGCGTTTTTTTGTATTATTAATTTGTTGCAATGTGTTTTTTTGTTGCTTTTTATTTGAATTGAGAATTGTTGGGAAATTGCTTATCTTTCTTTTAGTAATTTGTAATGTATGTCATAAATTCTCTAAATGTAGCGATTGCATGTCATTTTACATATGTAATTATGTGGCTATATGGTAGTAAGTATATGCATATGTACTATATATGTATAGACATAGTATTTATATATTTAGCACAGAGTTAGAGTATTTTACATATTCATACAGTTCAGTTTAATATTTAGTTGTATTACTAGGTTGCCACGTGATATTACTTATACAAGTAGTGTTTTTTGGTATTGTTGCTTAATTTAGTTTAGCTTTTCTTAGTGCTTTGTTCTAGCTGTTGGCCATACGTGCATTTCCGACTGACACTTTGCACACCTTACACACTAAATGTCTTATAGAGGTAAATATATTAAAAGTTATATAACTAATTATGAATATTACAAATGCTTAGTGCATACTAAATGTATATAAGTATATATAAGTATTTATATACAACACCTGTTTTGTTTGTATGCTAAATTTAACCTCTCATGCATGCGAAAATTCAAGCAGTGCTTCGCTCTGGTGCTCACGTTGTATTACAAGCGCTTTCATAATTTTTCAATATATTTTCTTGTACGAGATTTTTGTTTAGAATTCTCTTCTGTTTGCTGCTTTAAGCGCTCCTCACAATTTTTTTTAGACTTATTCGCACCTTTTCTTTTAGACTTATTTTCTGATTTTCTCTCTTAGACTCTCTTCATATTTCCTCCACATTTTCTTGAACTTTGTTAGCCTCCTTTTCTTTTTATCTTCATGGAGCACTTATTTTAACTCTTCTACATTTTCTGGTTTGAGAGTTTTTGAGAACTGTTAAAAGCTCCAAGCGGTCTCCATAACTTTTTTACATTTTGCACCATTTCTTTTAGAGTTGTTTTCTACTTTTCTTCTTTAAGCTCTCTTCGTGTTCTCTTTACATTTCTCCAACATTTTAGACTTGTTTTGTTTTTTCTCCTTCAAGCGCTCTTCATCATTCTTCTGGTTCGAGACTAATTTAGAATTCCTGATTTTTATTGCTTTAAGCAATCCTCTTAATTCTTCCACATTTTCTGGATTTTTTTTTAGATTTTTGTCTCCTTTAAGCTCTTTTCATGGTCCCACTGCATTTGCTTGAATTTTTTAGACATTTTTTCCACAGAGCTTGAAAGAGAAGCTCAACTTAATTTTTCTACATTTTCTTGTTGGAAGTGTTTGTAGAATTTTTTTCTTTTTACGGCGCTAAGCTCTCTTCACAACTCTTATACAGTTTATTGATTTCTTCTTCGAGATTGTTTCAGAATTCCCTTAATTTTTCTGCGCTAAGCTCTCTTCACAACCCTTCTACATTTTCTTCTACTTTCTATTTTTTAGACTTCTTTGCTTTTTTTCTACTTTAAGCTAACCTAACTTCTGTTGCTTGCAACAATTTTTCAATTTCAATTAATTTCAAATATTTCCCCTAAAACCACTACAAGCACAATTTACTCATATTCACATACACACACACTTGCTGTTTTTAATTATAATTAAGTTTTACCGTTATGCCAATAGCAAATGATTATAATTTAACTTGCCGTATGAATAGTTAACAAAATTTTATATTTTAATTTTAAATTTAATTTATGATTTAATTTAATTTAAATTTCGTTACATTTTCTTCAATTTACATATATGTATATAGTTAACGCTTTCTTTGGTAAAACAATCTTTAAGTTGTTAATTTTAGAATCTTTTCCTTGTCAAATTTCAACTATCAAACGATGTTTCAAAATTTTTTAAAAGTCCTAAATATATTTAAATTTTTAAGACTGCTATTTGGAGCGCTAAAATTTTATGTAAAATGATTTTAGTTTTTTAATTTCTTTTCTAAAAAAAAAAATTAAAAAAAATCAGTTTTTAAAAAATATTACTGAAGCACGTTGGAGTTCTTAACATTGTTAACATTTTAATGACAGAAACAATCAGACGAGAGGTTTGGAAGCGTGCAGGAGTTTATGCGTATAAAGGAGCGTGACAATATCAGCAAGAGAAAGAGGAAGAGAGAAAGCTTTTGGGAAAGTGCTAACCTCCTGCAATGAATAATAGAGAAAGAGCAATGAGACAATGTAACTCAATTTGTATGACAGCTATATGCTATAGTGATTCGATTTGAACAATTTGTTCGGATTTTATAGCGAAGCCTTTGATAAAGTGCCGAATTTCATTGTAATATCTCGTCAACTGTAAAAGGTCTTCTTATTAGAACTTTACTGTGATCAGTCTGGCAGCTTACGCTACACTTTTCCATAGAAGTACTTAATTCCGGATATGATCGTCAAGCTGATCGCAAATATATATATTTTAAAGTGTTCCCGACGTGGGTATTACAGAGTATAATAATAAGAGATAGAGAGAGTCAATTAGAGAAACATCTACAGATTTTCAAGTTAGATAGCAGGTTGTGTGTGTGGAAGAGAAATGGCAATTAGTAAAAATAGATTTTTGTCATTTGTTAAAGTACCTAATGAAGTGCTCATTCGCTCATTGCGTGCAATGTATGATTTAGAATTTTGCGCAACGCCGTCTATTAGCTTCCTTCAACCTCTTTCAAGGCATAAATTTATAAATAATTGTCTCTAAATTTTCAGTTTCAAATTAAATTATAACCAAAGTGTTATTGCTACGTGAAAATGAGTATGATTTCCTGCACGCAATGTTCCTTAGAACTACGCCAAGGAAGAAGAAGGAGAAGTGTGCCTCGGTCTGCGTAAGACTATTTCTATATAAAAGCCGAAAGTATTTACAGAACAAAATAAGCGTACAGTAAAAGTTTCAAGACTAATTAATTAATTGTAGTTAATGTAAGAGAGGGGTGGGTAGGGTGGTTTCCTTTAATTTTTAGTTTTTTGGAATAACTGCGTGCGCTTCCCGCAAAGTGTATGCGCGTTTCTTTAAAAGCGCATCAAATTTAGAAAAACAAAATTTTATATGTTTTTTAAATGATAAAAAAAAATTTTGTTTGAAAAAATTTTAATAGTTTAATTTAATTTTTTTTTTGCAAAAAAAAATAATTTTTTGGTTTTTGTACATTTGGCAAAAAGTTGCCAATTTTTACTACTTTACTTCTGCGCCTAATTCCTTATTCATATATATTTCCTTTGCACTACTTTCACCTAATAATTTTTTTGTTCAAGTCCGAATTTGCTCGTTAGCTGTTTTTTGCATTTATTTCGCCACTAATTTGTCTAGTTTAGCTAAGCGTTGCTATTTTGTAGTTGCGGTGTTGCAACTAGTCTTGCTGTTCCAAGCTGGCTGTTGTAAATAATTTCGATGTCGCAACTAAACCTTCTATTGCAACCAATCTAAACGTTACAACTAAACCAGCTGTTGCAACTATTCCAGGCATTCTTGATTTTGCAATAAATGCTGTTATTGCAATTTATCTTGCTGTTACATTAAAACATGCTGTTGCAGCAAATCTGGATGTTGCTACTAATCTAGCTGTTGCTAGTAATTTGGTGTTGCAAATAATCTCGCTGCTGCAACTAGTTTTGCCATAGCAATTAATCTCGTTGTTGCAAATAATCTTACTTTTGCAATTAATCCTGCTGTTGCAAGTAATCTTTATGTTTCTAGTAATTTTGATGTTGTTGGTGCAGCTAAACTTGTTGTTGCAATCAATATTGCTTACAACTAAACTTGCCATGGCAACAAATCTTGCTCTCGCTATTAATGAGTCTGCTGCACTTAATTACGCTTTTGCTACTAAACTAGCTGTGACAATAAATCTTACTCTTGCTCTTGCAATTAATCTTGCTGTTGTTTTTTGTATTGTTGCTGCTGGTGCGCCTGCTTATCGCGCCCTGTCGGCTATTTATTTTGCAATACTCTAATTTAACGATTGTTGTTGTTGTTGTTTTTTTTTAACTTTTTTACCTTTACCTCTAATGCCAATCAACCTCATTTGTTGCATGTTGCATGTGTTTGCTACATTTGTTCATTTGATTTGTGATTACGTTAAGCTTCGCGTTGCTCCTCTGCTGTCTGCCTCTTCTACTGCTTTGATGCGTTGCATGCGTTTTTGTTTAAGATGTATGTACGTACGATAGTTTTTTTGTTTTTTTTTTCTTGTTGATAAATGTATTTTAGCGTTTTTTTGGTTTTGGTTAATGTTTATAACTCGTTTACCATGTGAGAGAGAGATAATTTGCAATTACATATTAATTATATAATATTTGCTTATAGCTTTTGGCTAAATTGCGTTTATCTTTGG